CCGAGGCGCTGGGCAGCGCGGACGACGAGCTGAGCGCCAAGCTGCTGCGGCGCGCCGACCTCAACCAGGGCATCGGCGAGCCCCAGTCGCCCAGCCGCCGCGTCTTCAACCCCTACACCGAGTTCAAGGAGTTCTCCAGGAAGCAGATCAAGGACATGGAGAAGATGTTCAAACAGTGAGTGCCCGCGCCGCCACCTGGCCTTCCCACCCACCCCGCCACTCGGCCCTGGGCCCCGAACCCCCATTCCGCACCGCCTCGGGACGCCTGCTCCTAGGCAGTCACGCCTGGGTTGGGGACCCCGTGGCCAGCTCCAGATTCTCCCCAGGCTGCGTGATCCGCCTCTCCATTACGCATACGGATCTGGGGACCCCCGGCCACTGGCACGCGACCACCTTCATTAGTGACGCTGGCCCACTGGACACCATCTGCGCCACGCCAGATAATCATCAGCCTCCATACACCCTCCCTCCCACCCCCTACACACACACACATACACACACACAGAGTTCCAGTCTAGAGATCGGGTTATCCCCTCTCCCCTTTGGTGGCATTCCACAGGACCCCACGCCTTGGCCCACCAGCATTGAATAACCTAAAGCCTCCCCTCCTGTTTTCCAGGGACTCTCCCACCCCCCTTAGCCCCCTCAGCTGGTACTCTCCAGTCACTCCCTCTCCTACCTCTGACCTCAGGGTTAGCCCAGGCGGCTTCCTGAGCCTTCTGGGCCTATTACCATCAGCCACACCCTGCCTCAGTCCTTGGCCCCACCTGCAGGTACTTTACTACACATCCCACCCCACAGCCACCCCTGCACGTCAGTGCCTTATGGGATTGGAATCCTTCCCTCCACACATGGCCCTGCCTTCCTTCCCACTTGCTCTCTGTCACCCTTCCAACCACTTTACAGCCACTCTGTGTCTTTCCTGTCCCCCAGGGTCCCTTTACCCACTGAGAGGCCCACACACACCAGTCAGAAAGGGAGCTGCTTCCTGCGTGACTTGCCCAATGACCCTTATTCCACACACTGCAGGTTAGATGGCTAACCCCAGACCTGGGGGCTCAGCCCCTCAAACTTCCCGTCACTGGGGAGGGACCTAGAGAGAGAGGGCTCCAGTTCCCCACGGGGTTCATCCGGATTCTCCCCACTCCCAAGGGGTGATGTGGTCAGCCATGTTCGGGTCCAGTCCCCCCACATACATAGTTCCTGTGCTCCTGTTGCCCGCACCCTGGCCCCTGGCTCTGGAGGAGAGTCCACCGATCTGGAGTATAGAGGTTGACTCATCCTGAGGAGGTCTTGGGTGGAGGAGTCCGGATGTCTAGCCTACCCGGACTATGGCCACTGTCACACACTGCTGACAGCCGACAGCACCCAGACACCAAGCAGGAAGCCAGCTAGGGGCTGTTTTGCAAGCCCACAGCTAGAGAAAGGCTCACCTCATACTGCAGCTGCTGCTTCTGCATTTGGCCCTGCCCAGAGGAGGCCAGTGAAGTGCTGGGAACCCTATTTTCTTTCCCAAGGGTCAGCCTGGGAGAAAACCAAGCTTGACCATGTGCTGAGCCCATGGGTGGGAGTTCCGGGGCTCCGAGGAGCCTGCCTCTGTGAGTCCTGGGTGGAAAGGCCTCATGTCTCTTCCCAGCCCCAGCTGGCAGCCGAGTCAGGAGAGCAGGATTCCCAAGATTCCTAGTGGGACTAGATGCAGGGCTTCCTGAGCCCAGGGGTGGGTGCAGCTTCATTTGGCTGAAGCTTCCTTGTAGAGCTTGTGGTCCCCCCCCTGCCCCTGCCAGGAGGAATTGAAGGGAAATTACTCAAATGCAGCATTATAGTATTAACAGTACTGTAGTAATAATACTTCCAGGCATCTGGAACAAATGCCATCCCATTGTGCAGACGGGGAGCAGGAAGCTCGGAGAAGTTCAGTAGCTTACCCAGGCCACACAGCTAGAAAATGATGGAGCTGGGATTTGAACCCAGGCCTGTTCTGTAGTCACTCCGGTTTCCAGTCGTGATCATCTGCTTCTTTGTGGCAGTACACTCCTCCCAATCCCCCCTCTCTCTGATCTGATTAGTGTCCCACCTCGTGGCCCCACTGCCAGTCCCCATGCCTGCCTTCCCCCAAGACCCTCCTTCTGTCCCAACCACCACCACTACCACCACCACATACATTAACAAAAGCTGGAGCTCCTGGGGAGAACCCAGACCCCCCCACCCAAGTCAGGAGGGGCCTGGGAGGCAGCACTTTGGTGGGAGGGAGCCCACGACTATGTATTGAACCTGCAATAGTAAAATCAGCCCACTTGCGAGAGGCTGCTTGGGAGTTAGTTTGATGGGAGGGATGCTAGTATGCTCTGTTGGGTTTTGGTGTTTATGGAGAGGGACTTTAATGGAGCGGGGTGGGGGAGGCTGAGCCCCTGCAAGCCTTTGGGAGGGGGTATGGTGGAGAGGGGCCAGGGAGTTGGCCCTCTAGGGAAGGAAGTGGCCAGAGCCTGAGGCCCTGGCAAGAGTGAAAGGCTGCAGATTTTGTATACCAGGAAACAAGGTTCCAGTGTCCCCGAGGGCCAGCCCAGCTCGTTAACAGCCAGCAGACGGGCTTTCTGTGAGGACAAAACCCCATTCTGCTTCCGCTGTCCAAGTGGGGCTGTAGCCTCCTGGGTCCAAGCAGGGTCTGGGGATTGCCGCCAGGACATCTGAGCCAGGCGCTGCCCAGGGACTCCACCCTGTCCCCAGCTCCCTGGAAGGGAGGAGGGGAGCCCAGCCCTCCTGGGAAGCTGGGAACTAGGAAGTCTGAGCTTCCATGTTGGCTGAGCCATGGAAGTGTCTGGTGACAGCAGCAGACACCAGACCGCCGACCCTCGGAGTCTGCTCCAATTCAGGGCAACCCCGTGCGTTGGACGAGAACTGCTGAAGGTTTTCAAGAACTGGTTTATGGAAAGTAGATTGGCAGGCCTTTCTTCTGAGGTACCTCTGGGTGGGCTTAAAGGAGCACCCTGCTGTGATGATTCCCAGGGGCCTGAGCCCTTGTGGGTGGCAAGCCAGTCTTCCAGAGGCTTCGGGCTCGTCCGCTGCATATGCCCTCAGCAGACCCTTCATGCGCACAGGGTGCCCAGGGAAGACAAGCTGGCTGCCGCCCTCCCTGGACTTGTGCTCACAGCTAGCCGTGCAGTTTCCAGAGCCTTGCCTCATTTTACAGATGAGGTAACTGAGGCTCAGAAAGGCACCATGACTAGCTCTCAGTGACCAGCCCAGAACATCTGTGTCTATATGATGGGGAGAGTGGTACCCACTTCTCAAGGAGGGAAGGCCCAGAGGAAATGGCAGGGTGCCCAGCACTAGGTCTCACAGCCCAGCCCCCACCCCACCCCCTTCCCTAGGCAGCCTTCTCTGTCCATCCACCCAGGGCAGTCTCTGGAATCTTCTACTCCTAAGCAAGAGACGGTCGTTGGAATGGACCTCAAGAGCATCGGGGGAACTCACCTCTGGGCTGGCAGCTAGCTGAAGAGGGGCTCCAGGAGGGTTTGTAAGCTGAGACCTCCCAGAAAGGTCAGCAGACACCTAACTGAGCCAAGGAACCCGAGAATGGTGCCCTAGGTCCTGGCCTCTTCCCCAGCCTTGTCCCCAGTCATTCCATCATATGTCCCCTTCCTGCTGGATAGCTTATCCCTTCACAAGTTCCCGCTGACCCATCCCTCCCTGCTTTCCACCTGCTGGGTTCCCTCAGGCGTTTCCTCAGACCCTCACCCCTATGCCACTCCCAGGGAGTGCCTGGGAGTGCCTGAAAGGCAGTGTGGTGCTGTGGCATCTGCAGTGCTGGGTATGAACCCCAGCTGAGGAGCCTGGAGCAAGGTGCCAAAACCTTCTGGAGCTCAAGCCTCGCCTGCAGTGTGATCGCAGTCTCCACTGCGCAGGGCTGTCACTGCGCGCTTACCCCAGCGCCCGGCCCAGCACGCACCTGTAAGTGATGCCATCCTCACGCCCAGCCCACAACCCCTCTACACACCCTCTCCTGGGCCCTAGTAGGACCCTGATGGGGCAGTTGGGCTGGCATGGAGGAAACCCATCACAGCAACTCACTGCCTTAACCCCCCCACGGAGCCCCTGGGCCTGCCTAGCTGGAAACAGCCTCATTGCTTTGGGACACAGCGTAAGTACCTTCCTCTTCTCCTTCTGAGAACAGAAGCTCTGGCTGACAGCTATGACTTTGTAAAAGCGTCAAAATGGGGAAGTGAGTTCATAATCACTCAACGTACGTAGCAGCGGGTGCTGAAACGAGGGCAGAAGCAGCCCTGAAGTGATAGGGAACTGGGGCTCCCACTGCCGCATGAGCACTGACCCCCGAGGGGCCCCAGCTCCTCAGAACCTCCGTTTCCCCTGGGAAAGTCAGTGCCTCTGTCCAGAGCCCATCTTTGGGTCAAGTGCTTGAGCAGCATAGGTTCATGTCCGCAGACATCGCAGTCGGGTCCCGAGAGTTCTGTAGAGACTAAGGTCCCTGCTCTTAAGAGATGGAGCACTTCGGAGAGAACAAAGGTAGATAGAGAGGATGAACCCACAGTGCCTTTCTCTATTGGGACCGCCGGGGCTGTAAGTTCTCACAGGGTTGCAGGTAGAGAGGATGAGCCTGCAGAGACAATGCCATGCCAACGTGCCTGCCCCACTACCTCCACACCCTTTCCTCATTAACTAGGGCACCAGTCCAAAACCAAAAGGCAAACTCACTGCCATCAAGTCAATGCCGACTCATAGTGACCCAATGGGGCAGGGTAGAACTGCCGCTGTGGGTTTCTGAGACTGTACCTCTTTACAGGAGTAAAGCCCTGTCTTCCTCTCTCGGAGAAGCTGGTGGTTACAAACTATTGACCTTGCAGTTTGCAGCCCAAGGAGCAACCACTATGCCACCAGGGGTCCTATGTCTAGTCCAGACTTAAGGAATTGAATTCTGTCCTCTTCCCAGGCAATGAGGTAGGACTCTCCTGATGCCCATTTGACAGACAAGCAATCAAGACAAATGAGTCACTGGTCCAAGGTTATAATTAGTGGCAGAGGCAGGTCAGCCTGCAGGAGATCCCAGAGGCCACTGCGGGCTGGTTTATGGTCAGCACCTCAAAGAGCCTCAGGAAACCCTGTGTGGGCCCTGGGAGGATGGGTCCTTCCCCCTTCCAAAGGCCTGGCTTTGGAAGAAGT